GGGCTTTAGAGGTCCCTTCCAGCCCAAACCATTCCATGATTCTAGGATTGTATTGTGGATTCGAGTCCTCTGAAACAGCAGAGTGTGTGTGTTTCCCCTCTTCTGTCCTTTCCTGTGTGCTATATCCCCAGCGGTACCTTGCGGCTGCAGTTTGAGGGAGCTGGTAGCATGTTTTGGCTCTTCAGGTGTATTGTTGTTGAGTTAGGTTGTTGACATTTTCTATTTGCAGGTGTGCATCTGTGCAGAGTTCTTTTTCTCACACAGAAACTTTACAATTATTGTCATTAAAAAACAAACAAACCAACCATTTTGGGACATCGTATTGTAGCATACTGTTTCTGAGTTAGTCCGGGAAAGTCTTCTTCTTTACTTGCTTGAATATTTATTTGTGTTATTATGAGTGCACACAGAACTCAAGTGACCCCTGATCTTCTAATTTCCTACTTTCAGTGTTTTTGTATAGTGTTTTTGTTTTAATCCAATCTAATTGGAACAAATAATAACAGTTAGATTTATTAGCTCATTATAAGAAATGACTAGACACTTAAATATTTATTTGAAGTTTTCTGGCTTGTAATGCTATTTTTGTTTTGATTTCAGAATGCTCTCTTTAGTTGTATTAACAGAAATGAAAGTAAGTATGTGAAGAATAGTTTGTCTCTGTTGTTTTTCTTTTATATCATTCTATCCTTTTTTCTCTAAAATGTGAGAAATTCTTTGAGTGTACATATACACAAATCACATGGATTCAGTTCTGTAGGAGGACAAACCACATGCATAAATTTTCTTGCTCAAGTGATAAGGGGATTGGGCTGTTCATATAATTTACATCAGTTTTTCATTTTTGTGTCTGTATTTGTTTTTTGTGTCCTGTTTTGACGATTGCTTAGAAGCTTATTTTTACCTTCTGCTTTATTCGTTTGATGAGTGTTAAGTTACAATATTAAATGCATAGCTGAAATCTTGCACCGTGCAAGTATTTTCTTGCCTGATGCCTCTCTATATAAAGTGAGAAGAAATGAGTGTCTCAGGATTAATTCCAATAAAATTATTTCTCAAGAACTGCATATTTAATAACATATCAAAAAATGGGTGAATCACAATACTGCCTCTCTTATTTTTTTTGAATGAGTTTTAGGATACTACTCTCATATTTATTTATTTACTACTAAAATTTGTCTAATAAATCAGTTATAGGACAAATCTGGTTACTTTAAATAAGAACAAAAGAGCTGAAGATAAAATTCAGCTGGCTTGCTGCTGTCTTGAACTGGAGTTCAAGATGGCTGTAGGGACTTTTTTCTCCAGCCAAACAAACAAATGTAATTTGGCCAGTTACAGATATTCCCAGTCATCCTGTAGACAGAAATTATTTTAATAGAGCGTGGAAGAATTTCTTCATTTTTTTTTTCCTAGTAATCGCACAAGCGTCACGTGTGTGCTACAGACATGCTCGTTTCTTCATTTCTGTCTGTAGGAACCCATCGATTTTCTGTTGTTTGTTTGTTTGTTTCCCCAGTGGGGTCAGTCTGTTGCAGTTATGCAGGTCATCACACCAACTGTCGGGAATATTGTCAAGCAATTTTTCGGACAGATTCTTCTCCTGGTCCTTCACAAATTAAAGCGGTTGAAAATTACTGTGCCTCTATTAGCCCTCAGCTTATACACTGTGTGAACAACTATACACAGTCATATCCAATGAGAAATCCCACAGATAGTAAGTATAAAAAGTCCTTCTTCACTGAAAGTTATAAAAAATACTGAGAATGTTTGAGGATTGTATGTTCTTTTTAGACATAACCTGTTATTGTTTAGGTCAATTGTATAAATTGTGTTAATGTATTTCTATATTATAATTGTATTTGTATCAGTTTATATAATGATAACTTTTCTTTGTAGGTGCATTATTGATTTTTTTAATTTATTTTTTTTAAAAAAAAATCTACATATTGGTGGTGGGTTTTTTCCAGGATTGATTCTGTTTGCATTTAAAGGAAGCAATATTATTTGAGATTATTTGGTGGGGAGGGAAGCCTCCTTATAGCACTTTTCCTCTGAGGGCTGCTGTGTGATGCGTCTTGGTGGTTGTTGTTTGCTTGATCACTAACTATTTTTAATTTTTTGACAGGTTTGTATTGCTGTGATAGAGCAGAAGACTATGCGTGTCAGACTGCTTGTAAAAGAATTCTGATGTCAATGAAAACAGAGCTTGAGATTGTCGATGGACTTATAGAAGGCTGTAAAACAATGCCTCTCCCTCAGGATCCACTTTGGCAGTGTTTTCTTGAGAGTTCAAGATCTGTTCACCCAGGAGTCACTGTGCACCCTCCGCCTTCAACAGGCCTCGATGGGGCTAAGCTCCATTGCTGTTCGAAAGCAAATTCTTCCACATGTAGGTCAGTATCTCTCCACCCTCATTTCTACTTGTGGAAACACTTCAGAATTTCTCTTGTATCAGGCCTTTGCCCGAATCTTGCTATGTACATCAAATAAAGAGTTGTGTGAATTCTTAGAAAAAATACAAATTTAGGTGATCAGATGGGTGTCACATTCTGTCCAACACGTACTTTGTTTCTCAGAAAATACTGTTCTATAAGAGGAATCACACTTTTCTCACATTTAGCACTGGCTTGTTACAGCAGCCGCACCAAGATAATGAAACCTATGCCTTATTTGTGGTCATAAAAGCCAATTGCAACAAGATGAGGGGGCCTGAACCAGATGCTAGAGACAGCCAAGGGGATAATGATCTGCACAAACTCTCTCAAGTTCCCGGTTGCTGCATGTTAAAACCTTAGCTTAAAACTGCATGTTAAAACCTTAGCAGTATTCCTTACTAGATGCTACTCAGATTCTTTTCAGTGAAAAACAAGTTGGGTCATTTCATAATTAAATAATGGAAGTAACTATTCCGACATTCCAAAAAAAAAAGTTTTCAGCAAATATTGCACAATTGCAAATGACCGTGATTGGAGCCTAAACTAAAAAGTTTAGAGTGGTTATCTGTCCACTTTAAAAATAGATCATTATTGCGTTTTAAATGAATCAATAGTCAAAATAAATTGCAAACATTGATTTTTGAGCTGTTGCTTCCTTCTATATCAAAGTTTCCAGTAACAAAACAATGGATCCTGAATGCAGCAGTATCTTATAAGGAAAACAACACAGTGCAAAAGTATCAATATAAATTCTCACAAGTCTCAAGATTTGTGATGTACATGGCAGAAAAGGGAAGTTCAGTCGTAAAGCCCCCGAGATACGTTATTTCTTAGCACATTGTAGCATAGGGCAGTTGACACAATATCTTTTAGTTGCTTGCTTTGACAATGAGCTCTAGAAATGCATCCTTCCCTCACGTTTTCAATATACAGGAGACTTTCATAATGCAGTCAAGTTCCATACCTTCAGCTGGGAAGGGAACACTTGTGGTTTGTAGGGTATCACTGTGAACAAAGTGGCTGGAGTATTGCTCACACCAGGAAACATCTTGCCCACAAGCAACAAAGAGCACACCTGTTTCAAACATCAGGGCAAAAGAAGAAATGTGTTTTGCTTGCTAGTCATTTCTGTGGGAGGAGAAGGTGTGATTAGAGGTTGTTCATTGTCTTGTCAGTGTAGATTTATTACAGGTAAAATTAGGTGGGATAGTTCTCACCTCGAAGTCATTAGTTCAGGTTTCCAGCTGTTAGGTTTTTGTTGGGTATTGCTGTTGTGTATTCTGAAGTCTGTCAGACTCACTAGCTTAAAGATTTGTTAGCATTCTTAAGCAAAACTGGAAAATGTGGAGAACAGTGGAGTTCTGCTTTGAGCACAACGTTTGGATACCGTTGCAGACTTCGCGGGCACTTCTACAGGGCGTGCTGCCTGCTGTGATCAGCAAAGAAACGGTAGCTTTGCTGTATCTGAACGACTGCTGTTCTTTTTTGTTTCTTAGTCTGTGTTTTTTTTTTCAGAGAGCTCTGCACTAAACTTTATAGCACGAGCTGGGGCAATTCACAGAGCTGGCAAGAATTTGATCGCTTTTGTGAGTATAATGCAGTTGAAGTTTCCATGTTGACCTGTTTAGCAGATGTACGAGAACCTTGTCAGCTGGGCTGTAGAAATCTTACTTACTGCACTAATTTTAATAACAGGTAGGAGAGAGACACTGAATATTTTATAAAGGAATTCCTGTGCTTTGATTTAAAAAATAAAATGTTTTTCAGGCTTATTTTGAGGTTGCATGTAGTTGTCTTTCTGCAAATGTTCTTTTAGATAATTTAAAAATAAATAGTTTTTCTTTAGAATAAACTTTTGGAAATGTATTTGACAAGAGACGTAACAAAACTTACAAGAATAAAAGCTAACCCATGAACTTGTAAAATGTCATCATGTATTAGCAGCATATTCCTCTGTCTTGCTGTATAACAAGTAAGCCATGGTTACTGGAATGATGTGTATTACACATAAGGTTAAAATGCTTGTTAAATTTACATGTTACTCTTTTTCAAAATTCCTTGTCTTTCAGAGATATTTCTGTGTTTTTTTTACTCTATAGGGCAAAATGCATGATTTAAAAGTGGTGTCTGAATCAGTAATTGCAAGGTTACAAATTAAATACTTTGAGTTTAAAAAAAAAACCAAACCACATGTAAACTTTTATTAGCTGTTAGAGATCTCTGGCTTTTCCTTGAAATAGTGTACACCGGCATGAGTGTTGTATGAGTAGTAGAATCACATGTGTGATAGATGCAGCCTGGGCAAATATAAATG